AAAAAGAGGATCAATGGCATGCAGATTCATTGCAATCCACGAGTAATGCAGCCACAAAAAAACATAATTTACGAAATAGCAAATTGCAACAACGACAGGAACTAATAAAAAAGTCGGAATCAATAAATATATTCGCCAAAAAAGCTGAAGATCCATTCGAAGATGATGAATTCTTTAAAGCACCAACCACTGAAACGAAAACTAGTGATAACGGTATTAACAAAAACAATACGACTAATATTGGTAATAATTTTCAATGGGATGATGATAATAATTTTGCCAAATTCGATGAAAATATGTGATTTGATCAATTATTCGCCAGAAATGCCGAAATGACTAATAAATTTACGCACCACTTACGCGAAGAGGCTTTTAATTTTGAAGAAAAGTACGGAGACAACGATAACGAGAACAAGAACGAGATTGACGAAGAAGATAATAATTATGCTGAAATAGATGTCGCCGAACACGAATATTATTATATAACTAATTTAAATGACTATTACCGTCAACAGAAACAGCATTGCAGTACACAAACTGTTAGCAGTTTTTATATGGAGTCGGAACACAAGCAATCATCACCAACTAATGTAAATCAACAAAATACAACTAAAAAAGTTACTCTTTTACGCAATACAAAAAAATTTAGACGTAAGTTACTTTCGTTAAATCTTTTAATGAAAAACTTTGTTATGTATCGTTTTAAATATGACATACTTTAGGATTAGCTATAGCGGGATGTTCATAAAGTACAGGCGATATGATATAAGTCTTGTATATACAAGTTCTCGCGATCAAAATTTTTGAATTCGCTTACGTAGAAAATCGAATTGGATTGAATTTTTCTATTGTTCACTTAAGTTCGCTGCTTTTTGCTTTTTTCGTTCCTATCGAATACACATGTGTAGTTGGGGTTGTGCATTTCGCTTTGGCTTAAGTTCTTACGGTACGTACCAACTGATTGAACATTTAGCTATCAAAAATTATAAAGTGGCATCTAATACTAAAAAGCAAACATAACTGCTAACACCACTTATCATTTTAATATGCTAAACAGATAGAAAAACAAAAAAAACCTTAAATTGGGAAAAATGTTGGACATCGCAAATATTTTGATTAAAGTGCAAATAATAAATAAATTTTAATAGAAATATTTATGATTTGTATCCCAATAAATAAAACAAGAAAAGATAGAATTGCAATAATTAAATAATTTGTGGTTTAAGTATATAGAAAATTTTTTCACTACTTTAACAAAATATATAGTTTCAATATATAACAAAAAAAATAAGAAAAGTTATTTTAAAGTTAGAAGGGTTCAAATAGAAATGTAAAGACAACAACAAAAATTTTAGTAAGTTTATTAAAATTTGGCTGACCATACAACGCTGTTTTAAGTATTGTCAAATACTCCCCATTAGTGGTCTTAGGAAATATTCGAATTTTTTAATTAGTTTTTAGTCCATAATAAACGTGTTATTTTGTTTTTTTTCAATCGTAAATAACCATTAAAGTTGGTTCTAAAACAATTTCGATGTATTATTATGTTGAAGCTGTTTTTAGCTAGTGCCCTTAAGCACTTAACATATACTCTTTTTTAACTCGAGGTATTTTCAAAACCCCTCTTTAAACTTTGACTAGATTATTGTTTATCACTTCATCAGACTAAGCAATAATTGACCTCAGATCTGCATACCTCCCCGAGGAGCCTGTAACCATTTTGAGATTTGATAACGCGGTGTTGGTAAGTCTGTCAGTTTTCGATGTATGGTATGTTGCATTGCATTTACGATTATTATATCCATTGGCTTTTTTTGAGGTGGGCTATAACGCTACTAAAGCTTTGTGAATGAATCACATGAAGCACTTTCTTCATTTTTATTTTTCGAGCGAAATGCTCAAAGTGCAAGTTAAAGTGGTATTGTAAGGCATGAGCTTTAGCTTAATTACAGAGAAATTAATTAACAGTCTCCATGTGAAACGGATTATATATATGATATATAATTATTATAAAAGTATAGATATGTAGCACACCACTAGGCTGTGAGTTTACTGAAATTGAAATGCAGTTTGTTTAATTTGATTGAGGAAAACATTTCCGATTTTGCTCTTAAAAAATTTGAATTAAGTTGGCTCATCGTTGTTAAATATTCGTGTTTTTGTTGATTAGCAAAGTGTGGAGTCCTATGTAAAACAACAGAAATTGAAATTAGAGTTCCTGATTTGTGAGTTTTATAAAAGAATCTTCTTTAAAAGGGACACCTTTTAATAAATAGTTACTTGTCACGTATAAGTACGTCAATTCCCATTAGTTCTGCTATGTTTTAGCTTACCCAGTTACGTGAGCTATAACTGCAGTCCTATCCACACGACGTCACCCATTTGTTGTTATTTTAAATGACGCTTACTAATTTAAATCCAATTGTTCCATTGATTCATTAAAGTGGCCAGGTTCGTTCGCCTCGACACATTCCAGTTTCAATTAACACCCACTCGTACCTTTGTCTCTCTCTCGCAAAGATGCCTTCTTTTTCTTACTCTACCTTTACCGAATCTGAACTTAGTCCATGTATTTGTATTCTTTCATCTTTCCTACGAAATGAACCTTCACGGTTTATAATAACAACAGCTACAACTTCTTAATTAAAATGCATTGAATTTTTTCCAGAAAATATTTATATGTAATGTTTTATTGTAATTAATAGGGATTAAATTCTTTTTTATATATCTACTATTAAAATTTATTATTATATATTTATATATAATATAAATAAATTATTAAGGTATGTCATATATAAAACAATACTTAATATAGTCTGTATTATGTACTCATTAAAATAAGCCATTGAAATTATTAGAATAAAGATTATTATACATTTATTTGTAATGGTGACTTTGTCGGTATTCATAATTAATACAAATTATTTGATTGATTTAAAGTCTTTCTTTATATGAATATGTTTTTTTTTCATAGACACCATTATTAATATAAACAAATTAAACAATGTATTTTGTATATAATGAAATGAATTATTAAATTGTATATTAATATTGTTTCTCTTAAATTGTAAATAAATTTTGCCTTAAAGCAACAAATTAAAAATTTTACTAATAAAAATTAATTAATTGTAATTTATTAACTCTTGATATATAAGCATTAATTACCATTTGCAATTCCATTAAAAAGTTAGAATTGAATATGATATGCTTTAAGTGCATATAAACTCAATATATATTGTATATTTATTTGCGAAAATATATATCGCAAATGCATATAAATGTTAAAAATTATTATAAGCAAGAACATGAAAATACTCGTTTGCAATAATTACAATTAATTAAAATTTAAAAATATAATTTATTTCGTTAATATCTCAAAAGAAATTTGCAATATTCACTTGCAATATAGTCCTACTACTATGAACAAAAGAACATGTAATAAATATATATAAAAAATAAAATAAACAATTACTAACTAGTGTGCAGTTATAGTTATATATAAATCATACTCATATATACTTAAGTATACTTACTATGTATTTGAACAATATATGCATTTTCGATCTATAAATTTGTGGTTACATTACGCATATGTAAAATTAAATATGTTGTATGTTGTTCTTAATAAATACTAAAAGCATATTAACGATAATAAAAATAAATATTTATTTATTTCATATTATTAGTTTATTTATTAAAATACAAGTTGAAAATGTAATTAATAAAATAATATTAATTTACTTTCTCAATGTTACTCAGCGAATAAAATATACGAGTAGAAGTAACAACATTCTTATTATTATAAATATTACAAATATGCAATGCGAAAACGAAAATTGATTAACTAACTAATAAATTACTAAAATATTAATCAGTAACTTTTTTTATTCATTTTTTTATACTGTTTAATTTAACTAAAAACATAATTTTTTTTTTTCAAAGGCTTTACGGTTTAGTCATTTAAAATTAAATATTATGGGCTATTGCAAATTTTAGTAGTGGTAACAGTTACTTTATTTCAGGAATTCATACTATATCACTGGCACAGGGTCACTATATAAAAGCTTAAACATATCGCGATCCTAATTTGACTACATAGTGACAGTTAACAAGCACAACTCTTATCCAAAGTATCGTATGTTTAGTTTAAGGGTTTTCATAAAAAAATATGTATCGTTTAACAACCACAGAACATGTTAAAATACTGAAAATTGATTAAAAAATTAGTGATTCTCTATTAACCCGTACGGCATAATTATGTATGTTTATGCAGTATGTTAAACTTCATATAAGTGCTTACAAAGCCATTCTAATAGAATTAAGTTAACGCAACAACTAAAGTTGGCCGAGTGTTTAATACATGGAACAAACTGTGTTTACACAAAGATCAACGGCTCAGTTTTTCCATAATATATATATACAAAAATAGAATTGTCGTATAGGGGCAATAAAAATCCACAAGTAACTATCGAAAGCCCATTGCATCCATAAAAGAGTCGTTGCATGGCGTGGCATTTGGTCTGGAAGTGTGATTTCTAAGAATTATGAAATCATGGCATGAAATTTTATATAAGTATGGAAGTGGAAGATATGTAGTTTTAATAAATAACTAAATTTATTACAACTGGATTTTTTGGTACGACTTGTATATATGCGAGCAGTTCTCATACTTCCTCTTCTTGAAGAATGAACAGCCAAGTCATGCGGAAGCTATATATGGTATGTTACTATCAAAGAGAAATTGTGTAAATTTCAATAATTATTTATTCCTATAATTACATTGATAAAATATAAATATACGGCGACCATTAATATAGCCATTAATATAGCGACCATTAATAGTTATATTATATATTATTAATATATAATATAACTATTATTATATATTATTATATATTATTAATATATAATATAACTATTAGGTAAACTTATGAAATGACTTATTACCATGTAGCTAATGGTTTTTTTATACTGTATATTATACTAATATACTGCTTATATAATTGATGAATCTGATAGTATCTGACAACCTCAACACCGATTATAAAAAAATTCTTGGTCATTCCTTTCAACATTAAAAATACAAGCTGATATTTTAGTAGGTATATTTTTTAAACAATTAATAATTAATTTCCAGGTACGGAGTTAATAGGACGTACCACCATTTATAGATACATTTTGAAAAATGCACTTTCCGGTTGTATTTATGAATTAGTGGCACTATTGGGCAATACTTCAGCATCAATGTCGCAGATCCATGACTGAAGATCCATTTCTCCAGACGTATTTAAAAATACTCTGAAAGCTTTTTAGTGTTACATGTAATATTTATCGGCGTAATTAAGGGGGTACGCATATATTAAAGTAAAATACACCCATAGGATAGTGTTCCTTACCATAATGTGATGGACCAATTTCGAAGATATGCGTATGTGGTGTTTTAAACACTTTCAGCAGTAATAACACATGAATTGTAATGTCTGCGTTTATTTAAATGGTTATACCTGGATTATAGACAAAATGAATGTGTTAGGAAAGCACCTGTACCATAATCACGTTATGTTTAGAAATGGAGCCAAGGCCTGTATCGATGATGTGTTAAAACGCTGTTAGGATATATTTGTAAAAGTAATTAAAGTCATTCGTGACTTTATATAGTTTATAGCAATTCTTGTATTTCAAATATATTAACAAATGTTGAAGTAAAGGAAACATTTGGGAGTTCGACTAACATCGAAGAACTGTCGGCTCTTGACGTACATGTATCTTTTTTTTCGCATGTATTGAAACTCACTCTCCATAGACCTCTGCCTAATTTGTCATGGAAATTAACCACTTCCCTGCTCAGTAAAAACTGTTTTAATCCATTGGAATTCATATCAACGCTTCTAACAATTACTTGTCATGAACTAACTTATTTATTCCTGATTATGCCTCTAGTCCTCATGACATTAAAATTGTTCTAACGGAGACTTTGGCAGGGTGTTAAATAGTTACTTGTTACAAACTAATCCGTTTATTTCTGACGATGCTCAAATAACATACCTATCTAACTCTAAAATCGTCATAAAATCGTCGACATTGATATAGATCACACACAATTTCATCATATAATTTCCCTTTATTTATTTGTTTTCATTATATACTCTAATATAAGTTGATTATGGTTTCTATCTGTTGCCTCCACACGATACCCCCAATATGGCGGGTAGGCTTGAATAACAACATAATAAATATAAGAATGTTATAATGTTCTTCTTCTGTGTACTGAAGAAAAGATGAGAAAATAATGTGGGATTGGAAAACAGGTAAGATTATTATTGACAAGTTGTAATGGTTTTTCTTGTATTTCGAATTTATCCTTTTTGAGGATAAAGCTCTGAAATAATGGGTTTCTTATAAAAAAAAACTATTATTTAAGACGATATTTGATAACTTTTTTGAACTGAATTTGGTCATCTCTGACAATGGAACCGGGGGATAATTTCAAATGACGCCGTTTTACTCAACTTCTAAGTTTTTCTTCTCTTCTTCTTTTCACAAAATCATTGGCGAAATTATATCCACGTCACTGAATACAAATACAACTGGAAAACATATTTATCTTATATCCATTATTTTAATAGGAGTAGTTCTTAGAAAATTTGTATGAAAAGTAATATATGTAGTATGTAGTACATATCTGCAGGTTTAACAGTTTTTGTATAGTCTAAAAAGGTTTTAGATAACTAACTAATAAACCAATAATTTTTAATATTTTCTGGTTTTTACTATAATTTTAAAATGTGTCCATAATATAATTTACTATAAAATAAGAGGTTGATGCATTTGTTTAATGGAATTTGGGGATGTGTGTAGAGATATGGTTGTAGACTTGTGTTGTCCTTGATAAATACAAATACACGGAGAAGTCCATAAGTTATATACCGTATAAAATTATAGATATGCTCATTTCTGCAAACCATAATGTACGTTATGTATCTATCCAAATCCTGTACAAATGAATTTTGGAACATATCAAGTTTTATACCAGTTAAAAGTAGAATTAATGCTCCAATAGGATAACATGGGCAAAAAGTGTTGAGTGAAAATTGTTTAGTTTGTGCATAAACACTTGCAAGTTCTGATGCAAATTATTAACTGGATTATATATATCATTAAATATATTAAATAAATAATTGAATATATAATTTTATTTCTTAATGTTAAATTATAAAGAAATTGTTTAAAATCGATTTTTAAATAAAAATAATAATAATTAATGCAAAGAATAAAATGAATAAAA